TTAAAGCCCATGCACAAAATCTTATTTTACATTAGGGATCAACTGAGCCTCTTCCAAGAAATATTTGGCTCATAACCTGAGCAGTGTAAGTTAGGCAAATTTGAATTTTAAACCATATCATTACAAGCACTGATACTATCTCTACTTGTTAAGTACAAAGGCATTGATTAAAGAATTGGGGAATGGCTCTTCTGGAAACAACATCGTGCCTCAACAGGTTTCCCTCTTTCTTCCCAAAAGCTCCAGTGCCAGAATAAGTCGAACACCCTCTCATCAAAAGTGATGTGACTGGATGCTGCTTCCTGTGCAGAATTCAGTGGTTTAAAGTAGATGAACCACCAGACACTCAATGAGATAAGGATTAAGTCTCCTTGAGATAAGGATCAGGCATAAATGGATTTGTGGTCCTCAGATTTAGCATAACACTTGGCCCCTTCTACCATTTTTCATGATTGTTTTCTTCAGGGCAGCTACTTTTACTTTCATCAGCTCCCTCACCTCCCTAGCCAGAAATTGCATGGATCAGAATGGAAAAAAACAGGCTTGTCTCACAACCCCAAGGGTGGTTGGTGACTTTAACACACAACTAGTAAAAAGAGAAACCAAATATAGAGGCAGAAAAATGAGAAGAATAGACAGAAGGGACCCAGAGGCTAAACTGCAGTTATAATGGAAACAGCACTACAGACAAATCTGATGTAATTCGCAGTCTTTAAAACAAGGCATTGTTTAATGCAGATAAATTCTGCTCATGTTTCCTCCATGGCAACATATCTTCATCAAAACTACTGTAATAGAAATGATCACTAATAAGCTAAAGTATTTCTTAAATGTTTTAAAAATGAACTCAGTTGTGTTGCTGCAGTTCTGTGAAAATAACTTAGAAAAGAGACACAAGCAGCAATTTGGACAGTAGACTTTATTAGAAACATTTTCTTCATTCTTTGATAAATTCACATTAAAATATGCCAAAGGCAGCTCAGTCTAAACATTTGACATCCTGCCATTACAACAACTTCCAGTTAAAAACTAGACAACTGATCAGGCAGAGATCTTTGAACATGGTAGGAAACTCAAAAAAGAAAGCAGTGCCTTTAAAAAATAAATTCATCCTGAAGAATGAATACATCTGAGATAAAACAGATAAATGGGAGACTCTTGGGAAAAAAACAAATGCTATTGTCATATACATGTTAAAAAAGAAAATCCAGTATTTGGAATTCATGGAGTACAAATAACATTTGTTCAAAGTTAAAATGTTGACATGATATTTGGTCGGGGTGGTGGTGGTGGGGGAAACTAAATTTGATAATACCCTAATAAATAAACTAACCTATAAATCAGTGATTTGAGCAAATCCCATCCCAATGAAGGAATAGAACTGACTACAATTTAAGTATGCCAGCTCAGCTAGTTTATAGATTGGACTGAGTTGCTTCTGAAAAGAGGAAGCTCATGACACAGCTGCTATATAAAATAATTTAAAACATGGCAGGTGGTATACTACACCAAAAGCATGGTTTTCTGAAAGGCAGAGCAACTAAAAAAGGTAAAGGCCACATTGTAGCAGTTCCAAAGCAGCTTCGATGTTTCACATGTACAAGGGTTCCCAACTCCCTTATACAATGCACATGAGAATCTGGTGCGTATTGGAGCATCTTTCTTCACAGGGAAGAACAAAAAAGCGCCTATGTGCAAAGGAGGTTTGGATCACAGCTGATGCGTATATAATTGCAGTTAGTTGTATCTGTCCTAAGGAGCATTCAGGATTCTGACTTTTGAGAAACAGTGGTATTTATTTTACTTGCTGTGAAGCTGGTAACCTGTTTCTTTTGCATTCAGGCTACACCTAGGCTTAGATCTTCATCTGGTGCATACTCAATGCCAGACCACGTTTACCCCACAGCTTTGGATCTGACTAGTGAAGACATGCTTGGGATTCTGTGTTTCAATTATTTCACTGAAAGAATTAGACCAATTCAAAGAGTTTTCACATTCCTTAGTAGTCTCCACAATGTTCTGCCATGAATGTTTTAAAAAAAAGTAAAAAAATTAAATAACACTCAAAAGATCCATCACAAAGATTTATATTCTGATGTAAACAATTTCTACCATTTAGAGGTCTAGAATTCATCTTACTGATATTGTAAATAATTTTTCAGAGACTGAGGCAAAGGTAGAATTTCTATATCATGCAGGCGTTCTCTGCCCAGAGCAAAGCGGATTGATCTTCGGCACAGGTCCATTAAAGGCAGGGGTTCCGCTGAAAATGAAGAAGAAGGTAACCGTCAACATTAATTTCTTCATTAATTATAACTCTGTACATTAGGTTCCTTGGGCTAAGAGGAAATGCTTGACAAAGATTTTAGTAAGACATTTTGGGAGACTGAATTTACCATAACTGGCACACTGTTAACATTAGCAGAAAATCTGTGTCACTATTCCTTCCTCTACACAACACAAATTAATATCGACTATACATTTACTAAACATTTCTGAAGTTCACCTCTGACTTCTAAAAAAATATTCTAAAATACTTAGAAATTTCTTATGAGCTATCAGCTTTGCTGTAAAATTTCCATGTACTCAGTCAGTTTTATAACACAATATTCTTCACAACTAAACTAGTAGATTCATGACCTTTAAATGCCATATGTTCTTCCTTTTAAAAGATGATGAAAGAAACTGAAGAGTAATTGAACTTCTAAAGGAAGCCTTTCAGTGTAGTGTGGCATTCCCCCTCATACAGAAACAGGCAATTTCCCCTTTCCTTCCCTGGCAATAAACAAGTTCTGGTCACTTCACTGAAAAGGCAGTTTTCATTAAATAGCCTTAAACACACGTATCCAAGAATCTTGACTGCTAGAAGGGTCTTAAGACATAAGATTAAAACACAGGAATATATGTCAGTTCTCATAAGCATTAAGTTTCTTAAGTTTTAAGGCCCAGTGTTTTACATTGACACAGTATTTGAATATGCAAGAGACATTTTACCTATTTTGATCACACAATGTGTTCAAGAACGGTAGAAAAATCTGCTAGTCTAAAAAAGGAAAATTTATAGGATGCCTTCAGAAACAAAACACACACAGAACTGGGAACATGATGTAGAAGAAGAATTTGCATAAATGTCAGAGAATGCTGGACATAATCAATGGGACTGAGAGATCAGTACTGGAAGATCTACAACTGTGTTTTGCTGATCCTTGTTCTAAACACAACATACAAAACAAGCTTAAATACAGGCAGTGGTCAGAATTCCTTCTGGCCTCAGAATGTGCGGAAACCTATTTCAAGATTAGTAAACTTGTGTATGCACGAGCAATCTGGCAGGCAGGCAACTCAACTAGAGCTTTCACACACACACACACACACACACACACACACACACACACACACACAGAGACACACACACGTTCCACAATTTAAAATGCTAAAAACAAAAAAGGCAAAAAAGTCAGTGAGTTCTTGTAGCAGCTGGTAACCATCAATGCTTGAATATATTTTTCTAAGCTGGAATATTAAAAATGTTTTCTTTCCCCCCTGCCTCACTCTTAGGCACTTTTTAAAAAGTGTTACAGTGTTAGCCATAATTAGGACCAAAATGTTAACTAGAAGACTGATATTGTTGGCAGTGGCAAACCTTTAAAAATAACTGAGATGAAAGCATTACTTCAGTTGTGCAATGGGCCTACACTGTTAATTGTCCCAGCTTAGCACAGTTTTAATGCAGCAGATATAAAATGCACCAAATGGCACATGTTCACAGAGGAACCCTTTCATATGCAGGGGAAAAAATGATTCCGCTTGCACTGAATATGACCTCTGCATGGAACAACTTGGATCTTCAACATGTCACTAAATCTCACCAATGGAATCATGCTTTCTTGGAAGGGGAATTATGTGCCAGTTTCAATTTTGTTATAGGCTGCATTGGGTGCCTTATAGGCTGAAAAGCGTTATAAAAGTTAAATATAAATTAATTAAATAAGTAAAACTATCAGCACACAAAGTGGGAGCTGGTACTTTATGAGGGAAAGGAGGGGAAAGAGAGATTGTATCTAGGTTGACTAACTTTCAGAGTCACAGTGCTGAGTCTTCCCTTATTTAACATTTCAGGTGCCAGTAATAAAGTAAGTAGCTTAAAATGTGTGAGCCCTGCTTGGCTCTGCCTCCTTCTGCTGTGTCACCCTTTCTGAAAGGTGGTTCTCTGTCTCCCTTCAGTGCCATACAGCTGATGGCTGCAGACAGTCCCTTCAGAGGGAGCTCTGAGTGCTACACAAAATCATCTTACATTCCACAGACTGCTGGCCCCTGATCTACATATATACTTTATTTTTTTAATTTACATCCCATTTTTCTCCCTGATGTGAACCCTAAGTGGCTTAACACAACATTCTTCCCTCTTCCACTTTATTGTCACAACATCCCTCCTGTAAGGTATGTCAGGCGGAGAGACTGTGATAGGCCCAGCATCACCTAGCAAACTTCTATGACGAGCAGGTATTCAAACTTGGTTGTCCCAACACTTTAACACTTTGCCCTGAACTGAAGGGACTGGGGGATCTTTCTTGGCCACCCAAAGGGGACTTGATGGAAACTAAGAGGAGAGGCTTAACTCTGTTCCTCTTAAGAGTTCCACCAGTATCAACTGTGCTTCTGGCTGCACCTTCAGTCCAGGTACTAATTTACATTTCAGGTTTTGTCACCCACTTAGCAGTATTTGTGTGAAAGGTCTGGCTCCACAATAATGGTGCTCATTTCTGTTAAGCTAAAGGGGACAATTAGCTAACTACAGAAGTGCATTGTACAAATAGTGGTTGTCTGTGGAGCCCACTGACACAGGATGCATTACAACAAGATTCAAGACTAGTAGCACCTTAGACCAACCAGATTTCCAGTGTATAAGCCTTCAAGAGTCAAAGCTCCCCATGTCAGATTACCCCCCCCCCCATGAAGGCCTGATCAGTCTAGGAATTCTTATTGAAACAGCTGTGGGACTGGACTTTATGAAGTTAGCCTACTAAGCCCAGCTTTCATTCATGAGCCCCTGGTTATGGGGCACACAATTCCCTTTTAGTACCACCTTCTGGTATTACCAGGCAATTGTTAATTCATGACTGATTGAGCATAGAAACCTGATGCACCAGATCAAACTGAATGGGCTGGGACCCAGATAACCTGAGACAGCTGTCAAAGCAGCTATGAAGCTATCCCCTGTCCTTGAGAAGAGACCTTTGGCATAAATGTTGAGGTTTCCAAAAACCAATAATCTCAGAACAGCTGAGAATGCTGGACATAACTGAAATCAGCTCATAACTGAAATCCAGACAACAGATCTCTCCCCCCTGGAGAAAATAACTGCTTTGGAAGGTGGACTCTATGGCATTCTATTCAGCTGATGTCTCTCACCTCTCTACCACAAAATATCCAGGAATTTCCCAATCTGGAGCTGGCAACCCTAGTCAGGACTGGCCCCAATCAGTTCCCCACTAAGACCTGGAAAGGGCCTCCTGTCTTTGCCTTTTTACTGATAGAACCAAGCTTGGTTGCCTAGCAACAGCCACTGAGGGAAAAGTTAGTCCCACAGGTGCCAAGAAGGAGAGACAGTCGTTTTGACAGTTTATTCTGTGAGGGAAGAGTGTCCAGGCTGGCAGTAGGCGGGGGAGAGGAGCGGACCCAGTACCCATCCAATGGCACACAAGTACTCTTGAGTGGTGGTTGATGGGCTAATGGCTGATGGAGCACACAGCACAGCCAATGGGAGAGCTGGAAATGGCCAATGCTTTAGGGCAATTATATATATCAGATACTGAAATGTATATAATACAGTGAATCACATATATAATTGTCAGGATCTATGGTCCTTGAACCCAGAATCCTGGGTCAAAGGTTCCAGGATCTTGCTCAGTGGGTCACAGAGCTCCGTAGAAGTGAGTTGCTGGCCCAATCTCTTCTGCCTCAAAGCACAGCCCTCAAAACTGCCAACAGAGTAGCTACATGTAAACTAGAGAGACCAATGAAATCTGCCTGGAGGTATAAAAACTGTTAATTTCAGGCTTGCCCACTCAGTCTAAGCAACCCCCTGGTAATTTGAGGACTCTGCTCCATCTGCTGAATTTTGGTAACTGACCCCTGTTTTTATTTGCTCCTGTGCCCTTTGGCATTCTAGACTGATCTAGAATCTTGGCCTGATGCCAATATTGCTTCTCCCATGCCAGGCTGGCATGTAGCCTGACTGTGATCATTGGTTCCTTGTGATCTCTGGTCTAGACTTAGACTTCAGCACAATAATTCATCATTTCTAAGGACAGGCTGATATGGAGATATTTTAGAAGAGTGCCACATGACTGGAAAATATTGCCGTGAACCCACTTCATTACAGAGAAAAAAAATCATTAATTTGATTTCTGCCTTGCCTTTTCGATCCAAAAGGTTTCCCAAGGAAGTTTACACAAACAATGAAATGCAATTAACTTCAGTAATCAAGCAGGCTACAAGGTAGGACTTTTTTGGATGATTCTGCTGACAGATAAATGTGTCAATGCATTTCTACTGTAACAAATCCTTAGTTAATTTTTCAATTGACTGAAAGACAGAGATGCTAGAACAGGTTTCTCATACATCAACATAATCTTCTGTGTTAGTAATGCTTGGGCCCTGAGCAAAAGTCAAGGGTGTAGTCAGGCTTGCCCATTGCAACAAAAATAAACAGGAGTCTTGTGATACTTCAAAAGCGACTATTAATAGATTTAAAAAGTGAAGTGAGAATTAATAAGTATTTTTTCAAAAAAGAATAGATAAAATGGACAAAGCCCCAGGAGGAAGGAGACCATCCATATCAAACCCTACTTCTAGTACACCACAAATAAATCCAAGAGAATTCCAGAACTGGATACAGGAATCTATGTTGGGAGTAATTAATACAGCTGTAGAGACAGCGGTAGCTAAAGCGATTGAACCACTACAAAAAAAGTTGGAAGAATTATCCAAATTAGATGATATATCAAACCAATTGACAACTCAAACAGAGGAGATTAAAAAACAGTTAGCTGAAAATAAGGAAGAGATAGCATCTTTGGTAAATATGACAAATAAGTTAGAGATGAAAGTTGATAGTACGGAGGAAAAATTACAGGTGGTGACAAATAAACAAGAATCATTAGAAGAGGCGGTTATTAAATTGGAAATGGAAAAAGCGTCTTATATTCTCAGGTTACAAAACTTGCCAGAAAAAAAAGATGAGGATTTAAAAAAGGAAAT